CCGATGACACAAATAGTTACACCAAAAGTGTTCCGGGGTATAACGTACCCGAACTGCACTTGAAGAAGTCTCACGTATAACTGAGAATTCGGGGAGAGCTGGAAATGTGTCATCCCTGGAAGAATATGTTTCAACTACAGCTACTGAGGACTAGAGGTCTGTAGTTTGGTTAGTTTTTGCTGAGGAGCTATGATTTGTGGTTCTGGGGTATTACATACCCCTGAACACTAATGGAGGGTTAAAGTTGTTCTCTGGCTTGGGCACGTCCGCTGTGTATACGGAGAAAAGGTGTGGCGAAAGTACTGCTCCTTGCGGGACTCCTGCTTCCAGTAGTCGAACTGTTGATAATTCGTCTCCTACTCTGCAACGGCATCGCCTGCCAGCTAGAAAAGACTGAATTAATCTTACCATTGATTTTGAGTATCCAAAATCGCTCATTTTGGCCAGTAGTCCGTCATGCCAAACTCTGTCGAACGCCTTGGAGACGTCTAAGAAGATAGCTCCGGTGTTGTGTCCTTTTCTGCCGAGGTTGAAGCCCTCGGTCGCAAAGTCTACTACCCTCAGGACTTGTAGCTCTGTCGAGTGTTCCGATCTAAAACCGAATTGCTCATCCGGGAGGATTCCTAGTTCTCTGGTTAGGTCTTCAAGTCTCAAGATGACACGCTCCGCCACTTTGCTTATGGAAGGAAGTAAGCTAACTGGCATGTGATTGTCTGGGAACAGGTGGTTCTTCTTGGGCTTCGGGATGTTGATAAGCGTTGCCTCTTTGAACGGGTACGGGAAGTGCTGCAATCCGAGTATATCATTTATGATGTTAGTTATGGCTGCTATACCCTTGCGCGGTAGTACTTTCAGTGCCCCGTTTGTTATGTTGTTCGGGCCTGGTACTTTCCGAGTGAATAGACGTCTTAGTATTTCTTTCACTTCCTCGGGAGATGTCAGGGCCAGGGGTTGCGCGTTGTCCGTTCGATGTCTCAGTCTTCGTACCGTTCTTTCCACCTGTCTCTCTATTTCGACTACCTCGTCCGTGAACGGCACTGCCTTTCGAAGTTGTCCGCAAATGCCTCCGCCTTCTCATGGTCAGTGTAGACCATTCCTTTTTCACCGTGTATTGGCGGGCATGACTGTCGAGGTCCGTTCCTGAGTACTGTCTGCATTCTCCATGCAGACTGGTCTTCAGTGTTTAGTTCTTCCAGATGGGTAGTCCATTGTCTTTCTCGGATAGCTTTCAATTCTTCTTTCAGTATCCTGTTGGCTCTCTGCATGCACCTTTTGTTCATAGGTGCACGTGTCCTTTCTGGCGTCTTCTTATTCTTATCAGTTCCATCGTTTCTGATGGAAGGTGCTCTTGGAAGTTATAGCGCAGGACTGGGACTTCTCGTGCGCTTCTTTCCATCGTTTGGGTGATCGCCTTTGTTATATCAAATCATACAACATTGAATATTTGAAATGAATACCACATTTTTCATCCATCCGAGTCAATCATGTATGCTAGTGAAACAGCAGCTTGAAAATGATTTATGATTCCGCTGCTCAACGAAGTAGACAATTGTGTTAAATAAAACACGTTTTGATTTCATATTATATTTACGGAATGTGCAAATATTTCCAATATATAGAAAGATTATAATAAATAGGCTTACAACAGCAATAATACTGATAATATATAAGTAGTCTGTGAGCGGAAATGATAATAAAAATCCATTTAATTTTCCTTCAAACTCACTAGTGTTGCGACCATAATTTTTCCAATGAAAAAAATACGTGGAATGTTTTATCTGCATGTGTTTCATATATCAATTTAAACTTCTTATTGCTTCGAATATTGAAGCCGTTGACTATGAAAAAAATTGGTCAAACTTTTCCTCCATCGAATCCATAACTAATTCCATTCACATCATCTGTACCTTCCATGTTACCCGCCATTTCATCTTCCTCATCGGAATCATACCATCCACATTTTTCCACGTCATGATTTGCAAAAGTGGAATCATCGATATCGTCAGAATTACATAATAAATATTCAAGTTCCTCTTGTGTATAAAAACGCTGAAATTTACGTTTCTCAACAGTCCCCGAGATGTTTTCCCTGGACCACCCTGGAATAGCGTTATCCGCTTTTCCAAAACAGCACTCGCCTGATAAATACAATTTACAATATCACACCAAGGTGCTCAGCGCTGTAGTAGTTGTATGATGCCTTCAGTCGTCATGAGCAGCGAATGGGGCGAGTATGCAGAGCAAGTCTTTTTCCCAGATAGATACCAGAACTGCATTACTCGACGCCCGTTTCACCAACCAAGCTGGTATCTTCAGGAGATGAAGTAAGCCTAACTTCATCTACAGTTCATTTCAGTAAACAATAGAAAAATTTTAGGTTAGTCGGTAATTCGGCACATGCGCACATCGTCACACCGTTTCATGATTCATTTGGGACTTCCTTCGACCGCGACAGAAGACGGATATGCCTATAACAACCGCCATCTTTGAGGGCGGTTCATCTTCAGTTCAATCAGTAAAGAATAGAAAAATTTTAGGTTAGTCGGTAATTCGGCACATGCGCGTATCGTCACACCATTTCATGGTTATTTTCGGACTTCCTTCGACCGCGACAGAAGACGGCTATGCCGATAACGACCGCCCTCAAAGATGGCACATGGATGTCGTGTTCTGAAAGGAGTCCAAAAGTGAGGCGTATACTAAAATAAGTACCACTGAAAACACGTATTGATATGACTGACGGCCATTTACGCCGGTAACCAGGTTAGACGTCGACGGATTCGACGAGGCCGTTAGTCCTGTAATAGTTCTAAACAGGTAGAATGGCAGCCCCTTACGCCGGTAACCAGGCTGGATGTCGACGGATTCGACGAGGTCGTTAGTCCTGTAATAGTTCTAAACACGTAGAATGGCAGCCCCTTACGCCGGTAACCAGGCTGGATGTCGTCGGATTCGATGAGGTCGCCAGTTCGATAAAGATATGTATTTGTGCTATTTTTATCGAAAGGCCTCCCGAGTAGTGTGTTTTTTTAAGTAAATGAAAACACTTAGGGTGGCAGCATTGCCCCGAGTAAGACAGCTGCGCCCCAGGACAGAGCTTCCGTTAACTATGAACCGGAGGAGCCTGGTCAATTGCCCTTGAATGAGAAGCAACAGCCGTAGAAATTAGAGAGGGAGAGAGACAGAGACATGATTCATTTGTTACAAAGTAGTTATCTTCAAGTTGGCAGAATTTTTGAGGTTTTTTTTTTGGAAAAACTATGGCAGCAAAATATCGACTTTTTTGAATGGCAGAGATTCTTCATCATTTCAAGGTTTAATTTCACAATGCAGTTATAGTAGTTTCAGACATAGAAAACAATTTGAAATGAGGATACTGAAGAAAAAGATGTAAGAGTGAAACAGAGACGAAAATTTCAGTTTTCCAATCAAAAGAGCAGCATGTAAAGTGCTTTCTCGATTCTGCTTGTCAACCAATCACAAATCCAAGTTGAGGATAACTCCCTAGCGTAAGAAGCTCTCCATTTCATTCAAGACATGTTGCTCTGTGAGTTACTTTTTATCAAAGATACTAAAAGTTTCGTGGAAGTCAAACTTTTCAATCTACAGACAACTGGTTTCAGAACCTCCACCATTCAACGCAAGACATCATTAACAAGCTTCAAAAACACACATACTTCCTAACCTAACATTTGAGTTTTTGCGAGAAAATCATCTCTGCAGCGAGATCAAACAATAAACAAAATGAGATTGCGTATATCAACAAACGAAGCCAAATCATAAACAACAATTATTATTACTTGGTCATGCAATCTAAATGTGTCTAGTTTATTTATCGAATTATTTGGCGCTTAGACCAATAACGAGCAAGTCATCTTCGAACTATCTTGCTCGCCATTGGGTTTGGTGAAGCGATAAGCGAAGGGAAGTTTTCAGCGATAGAATTTAACTTCCGTTTCTACACAATCTTTGAAGAGTTCATCCAGTTCGGAAAGATCTTGGTCGTCTTTTTCTATGACGGTTTCCAGTTCTTTGACGCACTCAGACTCCATGTTTCGCAGAAGTTCTTGGACATAGCTTCCCTTTTTCGATGCTTCTGAGTGCAGAGAGTATAGAGTGTGGGGATCCTGCAAATAAATTGTTGATGATAACAATGACGATGATACTTATGATGCACTGTTTGGAACCTTTGGTGTAGTAATGAATATTACTGGAGTTTTTTTCCAACACCAAATCGTTATTTTTAACACCTCGACACGTGTTTCGATGACCAAGTGATCATCTTCAAAGAGGAAGATTAAACTGTACTAAAACCAATAATGATTGAGAGTAGAAGTAAGCCCAGTTGACAGCAAATCGGGGGCGTGCTCATTAATTTTTGAGAGGGTTAAGAATGAAAGAAAAATTCTTAGTACAATTAGTTAAAATATTCATACACATTTTTTATTTATTTCATTAAAACTTTGCAATATCGTAATTTACCTAATCGTTGTAGTCATTAGGTGGGCCTTATGAAAACGGAGTAATAATCGTGGTAATTATAGTAGGTACCAAATAAATTAACAATATTAATAAAAAACACAATATA